TAGATTATTCTGAGACTTTAAGATATGTCTTATCTTAAAGTCATACCTCAGTCGCTGATGATCAGTTCTTAACATCTTGACTTTCTGATCTTTTTTTCTTCATTTTAAGAAAACATAACTCTAAATCAAATTTATAAATCAATCCACATCAGGAGAGCAGGTACAGACTTGACGAATATCCTTGTGACCATATAAAACATTGACATTCCCAACTGGGCATGGTAGTTCATGCCTGTAATCCCAGCATTTGGGGAGGCTAACGCAGGAATATTGCTTAAGGCTAGGAGATTGGCAACATCATAGTAAGATTCTATCTCTCCAATAAAATTTCAAAAATTAGCCAGACATGATGGTACATGCCTCTAATCCCAGCTACTTGAGCCCAAGAATTTGAGGCTGCAGTGATTAAGCCACTGCACTCCAGCCTGAGTGACAGAGTTCTGTCTATGTCTTAAAAAGAAAAAAAAAAAATTCCTACATGTTCAAAAGAATCTAAAGTCATGGAAACCCATGTAAGTTTATAAAGACTTCTCAAGGGATTATTTTCAGAACTTGGAAACAAGAAAACATGAGCACGGGGGAGAAATGTTTTAACATTTTCCATAAAATGATCCCCCTAGAAAGGAATTGTTCACTATCTTTTTGAAACTCTGAATGCAAACTAGGTCCCAGCCTGTGGCCTAGAAAAGGACTCTGAGATAATAAATACCCAGGAAGCTTGAACTAGCCTACCTAAAAAGGAGAGTTTAGAAGAATACTGGGAACTGGTATTTGTCAGGGCTGGCCATCTCCCAAGAAACACATTATTTCGTGCCCTGAGAGCTGACTGGGAGGGATTCATTGACAATGAAATTCCTTAGTACCATTTCACTGTATTGAACAGAGAAGATTTGACTTTAACTGATTTAATGACCACCTTGAATTACAACCCTGTTTTGGAAAACAGTAAAAAGACAGCAGTTTTCTTCACCCAAGACCCTGAAATTGACTTAGCACTTGCTTCATTCCACACTTCTGAAAAGTAAATTCCATGCTAGAGGCAGCTCCTTGCTAAACTGCATACTAAACATTTCAGTCAAATTTGATGTTGTCCAAAAAGTCCTCACGGTGCAGACTCTGTCTAAGTACACTTAAAACTGGCCCCCTGTGCCAATCTAATATGACGTTGTATTTCAGTACATAATGTTTGGATGTAGAAACTTCTAGACGTAAATTTTTCTTGAAAATACTAAATACTCAAGCTGTGCAATTTACAGCACAGGCTTAAAGGTGTTTATCTTTTAAAACTTTGAAAGATATCTTTAGCCAAGGTCCAAAAAACTACTCAGTAAACATAACATAACAATTGTCAATATGCCAGCCCCATAAGATATTATCAATAAGTGAGGGAAGAAGAGACCCTTGGGGGACAGGATGGGGACTGTTGGTGGTGATCCTTTAATTACAGTTGTAGATATCAATAAATAATAGTTTGATTTGTTCTTATGCACTGTACCTTATAATAAATTAGAATATATCAAACTGATGATAATCCAGAGATTTTTTGAGATAGCTTTAAAATAAGGGTTTTTTATGGTCAAAGATTAGAAACTGTTAGTTAAATCCTTAAACATTTTGAAACTTCAGAACCAGATGCATAAACCCATACTTAAGAATGGCCAAATTGACTTTTTAAAAAATATTCTGTCAAGTTGTGGTTATCTCTTTCCACATACCCAAACTTTCCTTAAACCCATTCTATGGTTATGATATGGCAACATCAAAATTTATATTACAAATTTATTTTATACTATCCATCAATTTTTTTTTTTTTTTGAGGCAGAGCCTCAAGCTATTGCCCTAGGTAGAGTGCCATGGCATCACAGCTCACAGCAACCTCCAGCTCCTGGGCTCAAGCGATTCTCCTGTCTCTGCCTCCAAAGTAGCTGAGACTGTAGGCGCCCGCCACAATGCCCAGCTGTTACAATTTTAAATTACTTTTAGAAATTGTCTTTTGGGGCTCGGCGCCTGTAGCCACATACACCAGAGCTGGCGGGTTTGCATCCAGCCCAGGACTACTAAACAACAATGACAACTACAACCAACAATCAGCTGGGTGTTGTAGCAGGCGCCTATAGTCCCAGCTACTTGGGAGACTGAGGCAAGAGAATTGCTTAAGCCCAAAGAGTTTGAGGTTGCTGTGAGCTGTTATAATACAGCACTCTATCCAGGGCAACATAGTGAGACTCTGTCTCAAAAAAAAAAAAAAAGAAAGAAAAAGAAATTGTCTGTTGGAGAAAAATCATTATAAAAGTAAAATGTAAGAAAATTACTTATATACATAATGTTTAGTCCTTTGTGATTACAAATTATAGCAGTGCTATAAAATGTTCTTGATGTGGAAGGCAACTCAACTAAAGAAAATGCCACTTAGATTGTAATTATATTCAATGTCAACTGGATGATCGTAGTGTAGTAGACATGCAACTAAGCACAATAAACACTCTGCCTTAATTAGTGTAAAGCAATGGTGTGCTTTGTTTGGGGCTACAGTTCTTCAAATTACTCATCCAGCCTCCCAGTGTTACTGTGTTCACATACTATGTGCATTTACTCACTAAAATCTTAAAGCAATAAAAGTTTTGATTTCTGGTCTCTTTGACTGACTGACAAAATCTAAACCAACTAACCAGAGAGCCTGAAAGATTAAAAATTAAGTTTTTTCAATGATATGTTTCCCATTAGAGCTTGTTTTTAACTGGAATGCCGTGCATGTTGAATGGGTACAACATTTGCAACCATTTATCAAGTTTGGACGAGCAATGCTAATACTGCTGACGGTTCTGCTCTTGGAAGAGGGCCGTGCTTTCTGTTGCATGCATACACTGACCCTGTACTTTCTTTCCTTTCCTTTGTTTCCTGTGCCATGCTTGCTGTGTAGCAAATGGAATCTCTTGCAGTAAGTTAACTTTCTTTCATACTCTTTGTCCATTTAGGCATGGACCCATAACAAACCTTATTTTTACCGTTACTGTATCTCTTAGCATGTTTTCCCTTTTTCATTTAATTTTATTTTATTTGGTAGATTAAGACATGGCAGTTTATCGATAGCATTCTGGGCTGCTTTCGCCCCCAGGTAGAAACCTACATTGCTATGAATTCTCATACTGTCAGTGGAATATTTTAAGTAATAACTACCATTATTTGGCACTTTGGAAAGTCAGAGTTTTCATAGCTAGGTTTCACCCTAAATTGTGAAGGTAACATTGTTTTCAAACAATACCTTTTTATTTATTTGCAAGTCTCTGGCAGTTACCTTTTACACCCGTATTTAAAAGGATTCCATAAAGAAAAGTTTAAATGACCATAATATAAAATGTTTTACTAAAAGAACCAAATATCTCATTTGAGGTCATCAGTGATTGAAATTGTTTCTTTAAACTTAGGCTGGTTACCAGTATTGAGAGATCAATAAATCCAAGCAGAATTATTTTCCACCTAAGGAGCAGGGAAGGGGACTTGGTGGGGGGGGAGGGGTACTTCATGCAGCATAGTCTTAGCATAAATTTGAGTAACTTTTAAGAATTAGTCAAAAGTCTGTTGATAATAATCAATAGGATGTTCTTCCTAAAAATCTAAATTATTTTCATTTCTCTTAAACTGATTTGAAGGAACAATTTTAAGTCACTTCAGAAGCTCTCCATTGTGACCTGGGTTGTTCATAATCCTTAGTGAAAGAAAGGCCCTATGTATCCTGCTCCACTGGAAAACAGAATGGTGTTTAGTTTAACCACATTTTTAACCCTGGTGACTGCTAGCCCTGAATTCTATCTAGTGAAGATTCTTCTTTTCCTTTCACAGAATCTCACCCACTATGTACAAGCTAATTCATTCTTGGAATAAAATAGGCAAAGTGTAGAGGACACAGTTCAAAGACTAGTGTGATCGTTTGCACTGGAATTATTCATGATTTTTCCTCTTCATGGTGTACACATAAGCCGGATCATAAAAACATTTTAAATTCCATAGGTATCTACAAGGTCTCAAGGACCATGTTGTATGATTACTTTCTTTTTTTTTTTTTTTTTTTTGAGACAGAGCCTCAAGCTGTCCCCCTGGGTAGAGTGCCGTGGCATTACAGCTCACAGCAACCTCCGACTCCTGGGCTCAAGCGAGTCTCCTGCCTCTGCCTCCCAAGTAGCTGGGACCACAGGCGCCCGCCACAACGCCCGGCTATTTTTTGGTTGCAGCCATCATTGTTGTTTGGCGGGTCCGGGCTGGGGATTCGAACCCGCCACCTTAGGTGTACGTGGCTGGCGCCTTAGCCAGTTGAGCTATAGGCGCCGAGCCTATGATTACTTTCTAATGTCCTTCCACAGAACGTTCTGAATGTTTTCATAATTTCTTCTTTTCTCTAAGCGTTTTTGGCCCCTTTTTATCTCTTTGGTTCCAAGTATTTCTTATGCACGAAGTAGGCGCATCACCAGTAAACTGGTATTTAAAGGATGGTGTGAGGCTTGTGTTTACACAGACTTTAGGGTGCCTGTCTGTACCCCGAATGGCAGCCAAAGCTGTCACAGGGTGACCTGTTCACTGAATTTATAACTTTAACATCCAGAACTACTTAATGTTTTCCCTTTCAAAAATACCGTTAATAAAAACAAATTCTTTGCTTTTAAAGACAATTCGTAGCCTCTAAAAATGAAGGCAACCACTCAGCTATAGTTTGTAGGTGTTAATGGGCGAATATAATGGAAATGTGGTAGTTCACTCACTCCCTTCTAGCTGCTACTCTCTAATTAGTCATCGTCTGTTAGAATAGAATATAATATTGTGTATGATACTGTGGATTTCTCACTGATATTTATTCACTGGGTTTTGTTTTTCTGTTTTATTTGGAATGATAATGGCAAGTTACATTTTCTTAATTAAGAAACTATGTTTGTCTCCACTGAGATTTTACCAGTTATGCAAGAACGATCCTTAATAACTATTTCTTCCCATGCACATTCTCTCTTTAGCAATTGGAACTGTGTCAGAGATTATATAAGCTACACTTCCAGCTGCTATTGCTTTTTCAGTCCTACTGTAAGCTCATCGGCCAGGTGCATGAAGTTAGCTCCATGCCAGAGGTGAGTCTGTGCTTTCCCAGCCCCACCCCATATATCACCGCCCAAGTGATTTTATTCCCACATGATGATTTTGATCAAGCACAAGTCTGAAAAAACTGTGTCTTATGTTTATTTCTATTCTCATTTCTAAATGCATGGTCAGAACTAGGTGAGGAAAGTGAGATGCCTTGAAATTTAAGGACAAGTCTAAGAGCAAGAACACACACCCTCCTGTGTGTGTGCCCGAGGCGTGTCACTGGAATCACCTCCACTCTGGCCCTGGGGCTGGGCATCATTATTTGAAGAATAACCTTGTGTTGTGGTTTTTCTTCCTTACATTTAGCTCTTCATACTTGCCTTACTTCCATTTTACTGAGGTAAAAATGGAATATCTATGATATGTTTGGTTCTCTTCAGTTTCCTGTACTGCTTGGCATCAGGATGCTTTAATACTTTTAAATGTAGAAAGTAGGCCAGATGCGGTGGCTCGCACCTGCAATTCCAGCACTCTGGGAGGCTGAGGTGGATGGATTGCCTGAGCTCAGGAGTTCAAGACCAGCCTGAGCCAGACCAAGACCCCATCTCTAAAAATAGCTAGGCATTGTAGCAGGTACCTGTAAGCCCAGTTACTCGGGAGGCTGAGGCAGGAGAATCACTTGACCCCAAGAGTTTGAGGTGGCTATGAGCTATGACTCCATGGCACTCTACCCAGGGCAGCAAAGTGACACTATCTCAAAAATAATAATAATAAATGTAGAAAGTAAAATAATTTAAATGTGTCACTGATGAGTGAGCCAAACTTTTTCTACAAGTGAAGAAATACCAGTGCGATATAGTAAGTGAAATGAAGGTGGTGTGCACTGAGTATTAGGGGAGCACAGAGTATGAACCCCTCATTTCCCTATAGGTGAGAAAGGTTGAAACTGGGGAGGAGACTCCTAAAGGATGACCTGGAGTTGGGGAGATGAAGCAGGGCTATTCAGGAGCATTCTGATTAGACAGCATGGCCATAAGCCTGGTGGTAAACAGAAAGGAACCACATATAGTTTAGTATTGCCAGAATGTAAAAATGCAAGCCAAAAAGGAATGAAGTAAGACGTGGGCGGGAGGGCGGGCAGGCGCAAGATCATGGACAATCCTGCTCCCAGGAGTAGTCCAGTTAGATCTCTACGGCAGCAGTCATCTGATTACAGCTGGATTGGAGACATGGAGACCATTTATGAAGCTGCTGAAATCTGACAGGAGATGAGAGTTTGCACCAAGACGAAGTGTTGGGTATGGAGAGGAGGAAGAAATGTGAGACACAGTTAAGACAGAAGACACATACAACTGATGCGGGGAGGGAAGAGTCAAAGAGGATACTCAGTTTCTGTCTCAGATGAACCAGGTGACTGGTGGCGCCACAACTGAGACAGGCATATAAAAGGAAAGACTGAGGCAGTGGGACAACCAGACATCAAGCTTCCTGCCTGCTGGGCAGTGGCTGAGTCTGCCTACTGGCCCAGAACGAGGCTTAAGAATGACTGACCTCTTGCAGGTAATTAAATTTAGGATCCAGGGTCAGGGGAGAGGGCTAGACAAAAGGCACAGGTGTGGTCCTGATTGTGAACAAGTAGAAGTCAGTGAAACCATCCTAGCCAGAGCAGAGACATGAGGATAAAGCCTGGGGAACCACACAGTCTCAGGAGAGGACAGACAAGGGGAAAAGGGGAAGCCACAAGAGACGGAGAATGACAACCATTTTACCATTTACTACTTCCTTTGAAAAAACAACAAAAACTGTGTAACTTTTAAGGATACTTTCAAATGCTGATTTCAAGGGAGGCATAATCAGACTTCTTTGTGAGGAGCTTTTCACAAACCAATTTTCCTCGATAGAACTAGAAGTTATCAGATAAAAGAGAGAACAGTTGATATTTACCTGTTATCATATGATCAAGGTAAAGTTTATTCTTCTTAACCTTCTAAGCAAGTACTAACAAGATCCCTAGAGTCATCTTCGTCATAGAGTACACACAAATGCAACTCACATGTCATTTTCTATATTAAAAAAGCAACTGGAGATTCACTTTAGAGGAGCAAATGATGTATCGCATACCATGCATATGTGTGTATATATATTATATGTGTAATTATTTTAAATCTAATGAGAGTCTCAATATTGTAAGTCTAGGCAAGTATTAAGTACCATATGTAAGTTGTAAATATTGCATATACAGACACCCCTCACTTTCTTGTTCTTTGATTTATTACACTTTACAGTTACTATGTGTGTTTTACAAAGTGAAGGTTTGTAGCAACCTTATGTCCAATGAGTCTCTTGGTACCATTTTTTCAAAAGCATATGCTCACTTCATGTCCTGTGTCACATTTTGGTAGTTCTCACAATACCTCAAGTTTTTTCATTATTATTATTAATATATCTATTAGGGTGATCTGTGGTCTTCAATGTGACTATTATAATTATTTGAGGGCACAATAAACCACACCCATATAAGAAGATAAACTTAATCTATACATGTTCTGACAGTTCCACTGGCTGGCCATTCGTATCTCTCTTCCTTTTCTTGAACCTTCCTATTCCCCAAGACACAACAATATTGAAAGTAGGCCCATTAAGAACCCTATAATGGCCTCTAAGTGTTCAAGAGAAAGGACGGGTCATGTATCTCTCACTTTAAATTAAAAGATAGATTAGTGAGGAAGGCATGACATGATGAAAGCCAAGGGAGGCCAAAAGCTCGACCTCTTGTGCCAAACAGCTAATTTGTGAATTCAAAGGAAAGTTCTTAAAGAAATTAGAAGTGCTACCTTGGTGACCAACAGGAATGGTAAGAAGGAGAAACTGCCTAATTGCTCATATGGAGAAAGTGTGAATGGTCTGGGTAGAAGATCAAGATACAACACTCCCTAAGCCAAAGCGGATCCAGAGCCCCAACTCTCTTTAATTTTAAGAAGGCTGAGAGAGGCGAGGAAGCTGAAAAAGAAAAGTCTTAGGCTAGTAGAAGTTGCTTCTCAGGGTCTAAGAAAAGAAGCCA